ACGTATTTTATGTAATGTATGTAATATATTTATATGTTCCAGTCCCTAATAGTCTAATTGATTGTATTATATTAGTTTGAAAAGGGTTCGGTGCAGAGAGAGGTGCAAGGTGGTAAAATTGACGGTCCTTTTCTCCTCGTATCTCCAGCTACCGTAACCCTCTCCTGTTTCTCCAATTCTGTTTTTTTTCCTTTCTTGGGGGTTGTGCATTGCAGCATACATTGAGTGAGCAGATGTTTTATGAATGGATGTAATGTCTGTTATGGTCAGATAAACACGTGTGTTAATGCTCTGCTGGTATTCGAGGTTGCCTCAGTGACATGACACTAATGCAGTCTACCCATGGTCACTGTGTTGTCCCGCTAACATCAAAGTTCTTTTCTTATTTACATTTACTATTTTCCTATTCTGCCCATGCTTCCTCACCTGTGTGTTTCTGCTGTCTGTGCAGGACGCGAGCGAGCCACAGCGCCAGTAAGAGGAAGGGCCAGCACAGAAGACCTGCGCCTCCATGACCTCTGGATCCACCCACGAGGAGATGGAGAATGAAAACATGGAGAAAATGAAAACATACCTATGAATAATATATTACATTTCTGACAATAGATCCTCCTCAATGTTACACACTGGACCTTAAAGGCAAATTTGTGATTTGATGATATACAAATGAAACTGACAATTTTATCAAACTTTTTCCAGGGTTAAGAGTCACTTTGTCAAAGAGACACTTTGCCTCTCAAATTTTAATCATGACAAAAAAAAAGATACCTGCTGCAGCTTTAAAGTAAGAATCGTTGAATCGAATAAATCTGAATTTGATGGACTATAATGAACAAATAAAAAAGTTGCAGATGAATACAATAAGTGACAGGAGCAGCAACCGACAGATATAAGTCAAAGCTGAGCCGCAGGCAACATGTATGGCACTGATGATAACAGGAGTGTGAACAACCTCTGCTCAGATGCCCTTGAGCCTGGCACTGAACTCCCAGCAGCTCAGTGGTACTGTGTGGAATAAATCAGAAGGCCTCAGTCATTTTAAGGCCACAACAATGTCAACACAAGCGAGACAGGAAGTTGAGGAATCCAGCAGGGAAAGAAAGCGAAGCTGCTACATAGAACCTGCTGGCTGATTCACATTCACATTCAGTCATTTTACTTTATACATTTAATTCCTGTAGACTGAGACATGAAGCCCTGTAGCACGGAACTGCTGAGGGAATTTTTTTTTTTTTTTTACAGAAACCAGAGGAGGGAAATACACATAATCAATCTCACATCACACCTGCCTGTTAAACAGGACAATGGTCTGTTTTTGATAATTAAAGTATTAAAACTCCTTAACCCTTTAAGGTTCTGCTCAGCTGTTTGGTAGAACACTAGATCTTATTGAAAAATGTGTTCAACTTAACCTGATCTCTACCACTCGGTTTAGGTCTGCTATGCTAAGAAAATCAACTAGATGTTGCTGTGTCTTAAAGGAGTGGGCCCTTTTTAGTTCACCTCACTGCACGGACGTGAGGACTAATTAAAGGTTCAAAGGTCTGACTGAACAGAAATGTGTAACTTGATACAAGAAAAGAGAAAGTTTTATCAAATGTCATGCAATTCTTTTGAATGAATTTGTATAAATTATTTATAAACACATTGTACGACACAACACACAAACACAAAGTTCGCTCTTACCACACCAATGGGCACAGTCTTACATATAGATCTTGGTCTCTTTTCGGTGACAGGATTTTTATGAGTTTCTGGCAGTGGTGCCTCCACTCGGCTGCCTCACTTTGGTGGGAAGCTAACGTTAGCAAGTGAGTCTGCAGATTTGCTGTGGTTTTAGAGTTAGACAGCTGCTTTGTACAAAGTCACGACTGTCCTCTCAGGATGGCTTTGCTCCATGCTTTGCTTGCTAGTGTCCTCTATTTTAGTAGTAAACAAAAAAACACAGCTAGCTAAGTTTACGGACAAGTCCACTGGGCATGCTATGGGTCATGCTAAATGTCAAGCGCCCTCTAGTGGCTCACAAGGGAAACTACTTCAAACAGTCTGTTGTGTTTTACAGTTTATATTATACACTTCGAAACTGAAACACGTTCGAACTAATTTTAGAATAAAAAGCCCTAAAACGTAGTAAAGATAGCTCCAAAATTAAATTTATGAAATAAAAACTTCTAATGATTCATTGTCAAAATGATACATTTAATGTCATTATATTATATATATTCAGAAATCACTTTGATTACTCCATCTCATTTGCAATGAATAAATTAATAAAATGTCTGCAACGTTTCTATGTGCAACAATGTTAATCGGATGACAGATTAATAAAACATATACAAAAAACTATCTATACAATAAATGCATACTGGGATTAATGCTAAATTGTTTATCATGTCTCCTATGGATACATGCAAATAAAATAAATCATTCACGTCGTACACATGTGAAGCCAAACCTCATAAAGAGGAGAAAATGACTGTGATATGAGGGTTGGAAATGTTAATGTCTTCCATTAAGAACTCTTTTGAACAGCCAGTTCCTTTCACTTAAAGCTGAGATATTTTAACTTTAATTGCTTGAGCAGTATGGAGTCCCGACAACCTCCAACATTACCTCCTCTGGAGAGAATAAGGAACAAATAAGGAAACTTTCGTGAATGTGTGTCAAAACCTACAACTTGCCCAGGTACTGTCAGTGGATCAGTACAGGCCGGATCAGATCTGTACAGACAGTAAACGCAGAGAGCTGCAGAGCTGTGACCTGATGGAAAGAGTCAGAGGTGAATCTTCTCTGTAGGTAATTTTTCAAGTGAGAGGAAGCTCTGCGACATAAAGGACGACACCGCGTTAAAGATGAAATACGGTGGAGCTGACGAACGAGGCTTCGCCCTTGCCGACCCACCATAAAGCCAGAGAAGGGGCGGAGGTCAGAGAGGACGGATTTATGATTGCCTCCAGCAGCAGCAGCAGCAACAACACACACACACACACACACACACACACTGCTCAACTGTCCTCCACTGAGGCACTGAATCACTGCCAGCTACAGACCCTGACCTCTGCCCTCTCTGTGGAGGAGGGGTAACAGTTTTTCTTTAAGCAGAAATGAGAGGAGACAGTTATGATTATGACCATGATTTATGATATTGGCAATAGCTTTAGCAGTAGTTTCAGTTATATTAATAGCAACAATATTAGTATTACCATAGTGTGTAGCAGAGTATTTCCATAAGCATTACTGTAATTACTTTTATCATTAATATTAGCAATAGCTATTAGCTATTAGCATAGCCATCTCTATCAGTGCATTGCCAACTCACAGTGATTGCATTTATGCTCAAAAAAGTGAGTTCATTTTCTGCCATAATATAAAACTCAAGAAAAATCCCATTGGTGTTTTGTATGGGGAACCAGAGCAATGCCAACTTCCAGGTTTGCCTACTAGTCCTCCCTGTAGCACTCAATACAATTTGTAATTATTGTTAGTATTAGAATTAAAAGTGGTATTATATGAGCATGATTTGGATTAATATTAGAAAAAGTATTATGCTCTGTCTGTTGTCCCAAATCGAGCACGTCAGTTGCGCACTTACCAGAAATGAGGAACGCAACATTTTACCATGTCACCTTCTTCTACACTAAGGGTGCCTTCCCTTCCGCTATGCGACCACTAAGTGTGAAAAGTGTCCAGCCTTCCACACTCACCATCCGGGTGTTTTGCCACACTTGACAGTGTGAACACACTTATGTACTCAAAATAGTATGGAAGTATTCAAATTGGGACACAGCATTAGTATTGGTATAAAAATAATATTAGCATGGGTCTTAGGGTACCTTTGGTATTAGAATTAGCATTAGCTAGTATTATAATTAATATTAGCATAGGTATTATCATCAGCATTATCATTACAATTAGAGTTTACTAATAAGCATGAGCATACTGTTGATACTAATTAGTATTGATAAAAGCATTAGTATGAGTATTGTCATTCGATTATGAATTATAGCTAATATTACAAATAATATGACTACTAACCTTTTATAGAGATTTGGTAGTCTTCAAAGGGTAAAGTATCTTAATATGTGAGTAACTAAATAATAGTTAAATAAAAAAAATATAAATACGAAATTGTATTGTATTGTTTTTTTTCCAACTAGAAGCTACTGTCACTTTCCTGATTATCAATAATGTTGTTGTTTGTCTCATTATATTAAAAACTACAAGTGGAAGATTTATATGCCACTACGCCTTAATCCTGTTCCTCAACATAAATTATTATTTTCTCCAGTTTCTAAAAAGACTGATTGATGGTGAGATAGTGAATCTAATTAATTTCTTCTGCCGTCAGCAATACAACAGCAAACAGGAAGCGACGCTAAAGGACTGTAAATCAGTGAGCTGCAGCTCCTCATCAGGACGCAGCGAGTCATTAAAGTAAGTTTAGACATGACTGAGCTGAGTGATCAAAGACACCAACTGAGTCGCTGTGATAATCTGATGATACTGCACAATATCACACACACACACACAATCTCATTATGGTGTCAAGTCCTATAATGAACCCAAATGTAATTCTACTTTCTGACAGTAAGATTCAGTCAAGCAGAAGAAGTGTGTGTGTGTGTGTGTGTGTGTGTGTGTGTTTTTGATTGTGTGTGTGGGGGGTTGTGTGCAAGTGTGTGTGGTTATGTGTGACTGTGTTACCGTTGATGCTGCTCCTGTCGATCAGGTTGGTGTCCGACGGCCAGTAAGTGTGGTCTCCCCCTCGACCTGGAGGGTGAGAAATAAACAGGATCATCAGGAAGGAGCAAAAAAAAGAAAGAGCAAACGGCAGAGGTGAAGAAGGAAAACCAGAGTCATTTTGGAGATGGAATAGGGGAATCAGAGAGAGAGATTGGTTCCTTGTTAGGAAATAAATTACTTTGTTAAGATGGGCCACACACACACACACACACACACACACGCATGCTTGTCATACATGTGCTGTGTGTTTGTGTGTGTAGTTCTTTCCTGAGAGTGCATTTAGTCTAAATCTTAAGGTTTTATCCACCTGCCTGGATACTAACACTTCACTGGATATTTGGAGTTTCAGGCACCTAAACTATCAAGTAAAGACAGGTAAAGGTGATGAGACTGGATTACAAACAACTTCCTAGGGGCCTTAGAGCCCAAAAAAGCCCTAAATTTACTGTATTGAAATAGTTTTTTATAATTCCATTAATTTGCATCTGTAATGGCTTGCGCCTTCAGCCAAACCAGAGCTATAGCCAGAATTTTGGGAAGACTGAAGCCATTAACCTGGTATCTCCTACTGAATTCAGTGAAACTGGGCTAGCCAAGGCTAAAGCACTATTCTGTCATAATTAGCTAAATCATAATTACAGACCAGAATGAATTACTGTCCACATCTCCGATTTTTTTCAGTGATTCATATGGGTCTGATGCTGTGTCCATTGATGGCTACCAAAAAGTATTGTAGACAGGTTTAAGAATGGGGACGGCTTGTTACCTAACTTGCTTGCTAACTAGTTACACCTGTGAAAAACAGTGACAATAAAAGGCAATAAGGGCGGACTTAAACCATCAGCAGTGCATCCTCAGCAAAGAAATAGAGATGCAATCTTGAGTTCACCCAACAGAACGCTTTTTACTTCTTGGCTGCAATTTTCACGTCCATTAAAATCTGGGTCAAAATGAGTGACAAAAGAGACAACCTTAGCAGAGTACAGAGAGAACAAGCTTGAACTTCCAGGTCTGCAGTTGGACCCTCTTGACATAGCTGCTACCTGACAGGACCAAGTCACTCTGACTTGAAGGTTACGTTATCATTACATCCCAAGATGTACACTGTTTCTCATAAATAACTAAACACAACATATCATATTCAGACATTATGAATAAATATATGTTGTGTGGCCAATAGAATCACTTTCTTTTACATCCAGTGCTTAGTCTACACATGAACACTGAGGCCTACTTAGAACCCAAACTTTTTTTAACAGTTTTAACAGTTCAAAAGTTCTGCAGTCTGTTCAGTCGAGGCTGTGGACATCTTCTGTTTGATTGCAAAAGCTGATGTTCTTCAAATAAACTATAGGAGGGGTGTGATGTAATCTTACCAGCCAGAGACAATGTCCTGTTAGTATATGCAGTTTGAAAATTTGACTCAAGCTTTTGATCCACAATCTTTGAGCAGATACGTAGCTACTGCATAACACTGTATTATAGATCAGAAAAACAATAACAGAATCTGTTTCCAAATGACCATAGTATTCTAAGAAAGTAAATGCATCGTTGTATCCTACTATAGATTTAGTCTATATGCGCACCAAGAGTTCAAGAGAGTCCACATAGATGCTGGTTCAAATTGTGTATGGACAGTAACTGGTGAAAGACTGAAAGACCAAAACTTCTTTGGATTAATAAGTGATTCTTTTCACAGTACTCAACTAATCTATTCATACAATCTTAATGAATGTTGGGATCATCTTCAGTGCCTAACAAAGACAACAGTGTATTATCATTTGAAATCGTGTGAAGAGTACGGGTGCTAACAATGGATGTTGAATATCTCTAATTAACTATCTGTACTCCATGTAAGAAATGAATTGTACCACTGAATCAGATGAGGATTAGCCTCCACTTGATTAATTGCCAGTAAGAGCTCTGGCTGTATTCTGTGTAATGCAGATGTAAAAATCTAAGAAGAGAGACTAGCTTGTCTAAATGTAGTTGTATCGATGCTACAACTGCATCTTCTGGCAACGATTCCGCCTATATAGAAACTGGTAAGTGTCCAGTTTGTCACCTACAAAATTGGCGCACCAAGATGCTGATTTAGCCTGATTCCATATTGGGACGGCTGTGCATCAGAGTTAAATTGGGCCGCATGTGGAAGTACTCTTGGGCCAGATACTGAACCTCAAATTGCTCCACATGTATGGGTAATTGTGACATGTAGTGGTTGGAAGACTAAAAAGGCACTATAAGTGCAGTCTATTTTAGAGCTTCGATTATCTGCCCGAACCCAATTGGACCCGACAAGCCCTGCCGGGACTGGGCTGTGATAAAAATAATACATATATATATTTTAATGATTATGCTTGCAACTGTAATTAACAGGAATTTAAATTTGTTATTTATTCATTTAAATAATAATCTGCACTCTATTATATGCACAATGTAGTTTACTTTAGCTTTTAGTAAACTAACTAAATTCTTCTTCCCCCTTTTTTTTTCCTGAGTAAGTTTGGGTTCAGGCCCAAAACTGGTTTGGTTCAGGTTCACACAGAATTTTTGGTTGCTTGGGTTGTATTACAGTATATTTTGAGTCCCTTTTACAGTAGCTACATCATCACTGTTACCACTATACACCAATCAGCCATACATACTGAGCACTGACAGGTGAATGAATAACACTGATTATCTGGTTATCATGGCTCCTGTCAGTGGGTGGGATATATTAGGCAGCAAGTGAACATTTTGTCCTCAAAGTTGATGTGTTAGAAGCAG